CTTGTCCACATCTCCCGATCCGCTCTGATCAGAGCATCAATGCCCGGCGGATCGAACCTGGGAGGAGGCTGCCGGTGCAAGTGCTCCAGCAAGGAGCGAGCGTACTCCTCATGCACCTGAAAGGAAGCTACACCTGCCATCTCCAGGGCTAAGCCACGTCTGCTGAGTGCCTGAGAAACCCTGAGCTCAGTTGACAAATCAACCTTGAGCGGCTGAGGTTTGGATGCAAGCCTCAAGGCTGCATTATCCAACCGGAGCAATGTTTCATCCTTCTTCACACTAGAAACTTCCTGCTCCCTGCATGAGCATCTATGCAGGGGGATGTGCCTAATGGCCTGATCGACTATCATGGCGCTGCAAAGGTCTATCAATTGATGACTGGGCTCAAACTGCCCCGCTATGCGGAAGGCACCAAGCTTTGTCTGCAGAGCTTCTAGACGACTGTTCCGTTCCTGCGCAGACAGACGACGGCTGGGCTCGCCTGCTGGGGCCTCGAGCGTCTGCCGGAGTTCTGCTACGACAAAGGTCCCGGCCTCAAAGAGGAGTCTGTGAACGGCTGAGCTTACCACGGCGTCGGCCTTAGGGACCATGTTGTCTAGAAGTGCCTGCAGCTTGGCTGGGTCTGTCTGGTTCGGGGCTGATGCCACTCTGAAGAGTAGCTGACTGTAGGTTGCGATTCCTTCCTTCTCCCATGCGGCAAGGGAGGACTCTGGAATGCCATGCTGTAAAGCTTTGTGCCTAAAAGTCACTGCGCTGTCGCTGATGTTGGACATGGGCAGCGTCCTTCAGCCAGGCGCGTTGTTTGAAAAACTAACAAAGAAAACGTGCTGAGTGCCCGGCCTAAGCAAAGAAAGTGTTCCGACTATGCCTGAGCGTGCCAACACTGTCAATAGCCTCAAGGCTTTTCGGACTGGCCTGGATCTTTCTGCGAGTGGCTGCCTGGCTCAAGCCAGGACGCAAGGCACAAGCCCTACCGAAACAAGCTGCCCCGGCCTGAGGTCTGCCCACAAGGACGACCCACCCCGCCCGGCTCAAGCCGACGAGACCGGTAGGCTGCTTTAGCACACAAGTGCTGCAAGACAAGGCACACAAGTGCACTGCACACACTGCTGGTTTTTGGCTCAAGCCACAGGTACGGCTGTCCAGGGCCAAAAGATCCTCTGTGCTGGACTGCTGGCCCGGACAGCTACTGTAACCGCCTGTGACCACAAGGCCAGGCACACAAGTGCTACCGGCGGACTAAGGTACACCTGCCGTCCAGTCTGTCTTAGAGAAGAAACCTGCAGTCGAAAAAACACTAGAAAGACAGACAGAACTGAACACAGGCTGCGCGAGCTCAAACTAAAGGCTCAGACTGTGGTTGCCGAAGATCTTGGCAACACATGGGAGCTAGGATACATGTATGTGTGTATCAGGGCTAAGGGGGGGCTCAGAAGCCCCGCCTGGACAGACTGAGAAAGGGCTGTCAACGTCTGCGGTTGGAGCCTGCATGCCAAGAAGCTAAGACAAGCTGTAACATACTGGGGGCCCGGCCTGAGACGTGACAACGAGGACACTCATGGTGAGTGTGCCATGCTCCTCCTGGCTTAGTGAGCGTCAGCGCCCTGGAGCAAGACTGCATCTGACAGCGAGGGCAGAGCGACAAACAAAACCCTGCCAGCTCATGTCCATGCTGCCTGAGACTGGCTGGGAGCCGCGCGTCTCGGTTGGCTGCCAGTGGGGCAAAAGCCCGGCTGTAGGGTACTGCGGGGGGGAGAAAAGCGCGCGTAGTAGATACCGCTGTGGTATCCCACTAGGTCGTTGGGAAAAGCGCTGAGACAGCGGACGTCGACTGTAAAAGGCTGAGTGCGCCTTGGCTTCTGGCTGGCCAGGGGGAGCCTGAGTCTGAGGAAGGGTTGGAGGCATGGCCTTGACAGGTGGCGTCTTGGCCGGTCCCCAAAGACTGAGCAACCTGCGTCTGCGAAGGCTGTGGCTGCTGCGCGTCTGTTGTAGGCTGGGGCTCTGGCTGAGTCTGTTGTGAGTCGTCCTGAGTCACCTGAGTAGAGGAGACGCCTGGGTCCGACAGTACAGGGGCTGCAACCTGACCAACAGCTGACAGGGCGGACTCGGCTAAAGGCAAAGTGTCGTCTAAGGCATCTAGCTGATCTGCCCAAGCTGCTTTTGGCTGATCAGCGACTGTAGTGGACGCCTGTGCATCTTCTGTAGCCTCTGACTCTTCACCAGACTCCAAGAGGTAGTACGAGGCTGTACCCAGTCCAGTGTCTACCACCACCAAGGAGCCGGAGGCTGACTCTGTTGCTAGCTCCTCTGAGAGAACTAGCATGGTCTGTAGACGGCCCCTGGCGTCTGGTGGCAAGTTGCTAAGTGCCTCCACTGTCACGTCTGCATCCTGACTGATCAGGGCTACCAGTGCGTGTTCAGTGCGCCTCACCTCCTGTACCCACGACATTGCGGCTGAGGCAAGACTGAGGCACCTAACAGACTGCTGAAAATCTGACACTTGATCCAAAATGGACAGCACACACCGTTAAAGCTTGATGCAAGCATGCACGACTTAAGAATGTTAAGATTGGTTTCTATTCTGCTATGGTTGCAGAATCGTATATTATACAATAAAGCCCTACCACATATTATACACACCATATCATGTGGTATTCTATTCTGTTTGATAATACTATGTTATAATACCATGTTGCATTAGATTAATATCATTTAGCGTGTATACAGATATATATATATATATATATTATACACAAAGCTCTGTATATACAGACCAGGGGATACCCATATTATTTTGTTTTGCGTTAAATTTTTGTTTGAAATGTTTCGTTTCGACATCCACAAACATCCGTGCTGCTGAACCTACGGTAGGAGGGACTGGGCTGGAAGCTTCACGAAACGTGTGTCAGCTGTACACCACACCAGCAAACAGACTAATGATGGACCAGCCTGTCAAAGAAAAGTCCAGCTTCCAACAACCATCTTATGCAGGTCTTCTCAGCGTCGGGTCACAGTTTAGGATGTACAAATTCGAAGGTTTCAGCCATGCCGGGTCATCGTTTAACGATTATAATATGTTATGATATATATTGGTTATATCATATCATGCTATTTGTGTCATGTTTTATCATGGTATATTGAAACGCATACGCTGTAAGATAACATGCCTGAGTGGATTACAGTTTACTACGTGAACTAACACTACATGATATTGGGTTATGCTCTGTCATATTATTAAGTCTATTTGAGACAGTATGCATTTTGAATGATCAGTCAGTATTGTACGGTGCTATAATATGAGGGAGAAAGTACCATATAGTTTAAAGGCAATCTAGAAAAAGATGATATAACCAAATATACTGCAATATGTATTATGGTTCAGTGTTGTGATATGAAACTTTTCTTAATGAAATACTCTAAACACAGTCCAAACAATAATGCAACACAATACAACATAATATAGTTCTCCTGCAGTCTATATATACACAGTTTTGCGTCTGTGTATATGTGTATATATATACACACTATATGATATTAATCTAACATAACAGTCTATTTTAACATAGTACTACCAAACAATAGAATACCACATGATATGGTGTATATAATATGTGGTAGGGCTTTATTGTATAATATACGATTCTGCAACCATAGCAGAATAGAAACCAATCTTAACATTCTTAATATAAGATAACAGCGGTAAGTAAGAGAAGTTGTCTATTTTCATATTAGCCAAGTTCTGCATATTCTTGATATAGTATTCATATAGTCATATAGCAATACGAGTCTTTGTCTGTCGTATAACGGTAGACTGAATTGTAACATATTTTGTTTTATTGCCAAAACTGAAACTTACTATTGATGTAATAGTTTGTTTTACCTCAATATACATATCATTGTGAACTCATATCAATGTAAGATAGAATAATACAATGTTTGTATGACAGATCGCATCAAGTCGAATCTAAGTCATGTCAATACGGTATGTTGCTTCCAACTGTATTTTGCTTCGAAGCCCACTTGTACGTAAAGACGTGGGCCCCAAGCTCCCCGCAGCCCCCGCACCCCGCCTGCACCCCACCCAACCCACGTCCGGCAGGCGAAAAAAAGGCCAAAAACAAGAATGCCAAAAATAATAATAACCCCCGTTTCAAAGCGTCGGAGTTATCTCGGTATGTACCCTTCTGGGTTTGGTGTTCAAAGGTAGTCACACTGCAGTTGTAATGTCTTGGGAACCTTTTTTGGGCTGATTAGCGGGACGTCAGGATATTCGCAAAAGACAATCCGGGACATTACCCGGCGTGGCATCACAATTCTTCATGCGTGCCTGTGCTCCGCGAGAGCCAGAGGGGGGTGCGAACTCCACCCACGAGAAGTCTCCGCTCGAGGGGCTGATGCTTGACGCTTATAATGGTATGGACCAAAACAGTATCCAAAACACGCCATGGGCCTGCCAGCAGAGAACTGCCCAAATTGAAACTGTTGAACAATACTACCCACCCGCACGTGCCCCATTTTGGCAAGTTGAAGATTGCTTGTCGCATAATGCACCAGCGTGATGGTGGCTAAAACCATGAAAGAACCGTGAATGGGCTGACCCGAAGTCTACAAGGAGTGTCGTGAGATGTCGTGAGGCAAACAACCCTTAGCCCTCAATCCCAACAGGAGGGATAATTTCGAACAAGGTTACATTGCCCTGTTTCTTTGGTTCTATACTGGCAGCATGTAGCAGCGTTGCACCTGCTTGAAGCCCCTGCCCCACCGCGCTCCTGGCCCAAAACAACAGGAGAACGAAGATAAGAATTACGGTCTGTGACATTTTCGACGAGCGCGTTCGACCACGACCGCTTACAGCCAACCCGTCTAGGCTATGATTGCTGTCAGTCAGCTTCAAGCAGTCTCGTGCCAGACTGCACGACTTTCACTGCACCGAGCCTATCACAGAAGTTGGCAAACGCGACGATTGAATCTGCTGTAACCTGCTTTCTGGAGAGCCTGTCCTCATCTCCTGTGCGAGTTCTTTCCCGGACGCGTAGCACTTCATGAGCCGCCGCCGAGTGAATGCCCGGCATTGACGTTGCAGCTCTCGGGACGCAGCCGTGTTCAGGCAGAGCCAAAATGGGGCTCGGCCTGGCCTCTTGGACATCTCTTCTAGGATGTGGTCCTCGGAAATGCCATGCGCTCGCCGTGCAGCGTCACGAAATTGCGAAAAAATCAGCTCAGGCGCTGCCGGCCCCAGCTCGTTGCAGAAGCGCTCCCCACACGCATCCAGCAGCAGCGCGCCCGCCGCACGGAAGATCTCTCCCGCAATCGCCTGCCCATGCTCAGCAAATTTTTCTCAACATCCCAAAAACACACGATATTCCCAGCCTTGCGAGGCGCCTCTGGTTCGTCCAAGTGTATCAGCCTAGCTATGGCAGGACAGTGCAGTGGCCTATGAACATAGGCTGCGGACCCGGCCCTGTCGGATGGAGTTGCACCCACTCCAGGTCGAGAGTCTTGGCACCGACATCTTCACCTAAGGCATCCCTCAGTGCTCTCCTAGAACCCTGCATTCCGCCATCCTGCAGAAGGATCCAAGACTCTGAGGACGTCAGACGGAAGGGAGCAGCCAAACATCGGGGCCGGGCTCTGATCGGCTGAGGGACCAAGCTTCAGCCCGTCTCCTGTGCAATGCTCCGCGCTGGCCGTTGGCAGGTTGACCAAGTCGGGCCGGTACTTTGCCAGCACAGATCCAGGTCCAACACCTGCTGCAAAGCCACCTGTCCAACTCTTGAGAAGTGGGAGGTTTGGAACCCGATTTGTCATCTGCCGTGCAGCTGGGAGGCCAGTGCAGAGGATGACGGGACCGTACTCCTTGCTGCTTCTCCCAAATTTCTGGTACTCGCAGCCTGGGACACCGGTGAGTTGGGACACCCGGCTGAAGCCGAATCAGAAATCTAAGGCTCCGTCCGACTACACTTCCTGCCCGACTGAGGAGTCTGGAGACTTCAGCTTTGGTGATGATTCGAGCTCTATCAGACACCTTCATGCAGATTCTTTGGCAGGGTATCGGACAAAAAAACTTTTTCGTGAGCCTCAGCAACCTTCTCGACACGCTGGATCAGGGCATAGGTGATCGTCATACCGGGCATGCCATCCCCAGTCCTGTCTGCAGATGAAGCATGATGAAGGTCACAGTTGGACTAGCAGATAGACGGGAATGCACTGCAAGGATTGGCGATGCTCCTGAGGGTCCGTGGATGGGAGTGCCCTGCATGTTTCGCGATCATTGCCAGATTTAAGTCGAATTTGTCAACCAGCCAACTCTTGTTGGGCAAGCCATTTCGACCTGAATCTCTCATTGAAAGGCTCCTTCTGGTGAGAGTCTTGCTTGGGGTGTCAAGAAGCACGCAGAACTTTTGCAGGTCCAGCTGCCCAAGACTTCCGCCAGGGGTGTCTCACTCCCTCCAGCAACTCTGATGTCATTCCGGAAAGTAGACATAGCATCCTCCTCCAACGCTTCCAAGAAAAAACACTGCCCTTTACAAGTACAGAACTGAAACAAACCGCCAGGAATCCTGAGATGCTGGAAAACTGATGCCGGCGGTGGCTTTGGCTGAGTTGCCACCGCAAAAGGGAGCCTGCGGAAGGTGTTCAGCAGGAGCATCCGAGACTGTTGGCGGCATCAAGCGCTCCTTGTCAAGAACCTCAGTCGAGAAGCGCGGTGGAGTCGTGATGAGTGCTGTACGAATTCGTGCAAGCCATCCAAAACAGACTGTTCTGCAATTCCACGGGCGATTTTCTCACTCAACCCTGAGATTCAAAGTCAAGGCCTTCCTTCAAATCGAGGCTCGTTCAATTTGTTGACAGTTTTCCTCTAATCCATTTACTGCCTACAATGCAACATAATACAACTGCCTTTGACGACAAGGTGCACAGCCTAGCATCATGCTGAAATGCGGTGCCCTATATTGGTACGATGGTATAGTCCTATGAAGTGTTGCTTGGGAGTGCCATATATGGTATCAAGGTGGGAGCAGCTGGGGAGTAGCTAGCAACCGGTAAGTATACTTCCGGGGGTTCGTTGGTAAGGCTTGTTGGTTGCTTGACTAAGTTGAAGCCCACTCATCTCTGAGAAGTGGCTTTGGGTGGCGTGGGTTTCCGGGAGGGGTCCGGCAGCTCGGCCAAAAGAGCGTTTCCTTCGTCTTTGTGCCTGTTGCGTGATCTGCTTGCCTACCAACACCCCGTCTGCATCGTAGGGATGCTTGTCTGAACACTGCCTGCATTGCCAGAAGCCTTGGGACTAGATTTTGATTCGTCTCTCAGACCTCGAGCCTGCAGCGGTCGGAAACTGGGGTACCCACCAAGACTCGACCTCCTCGCTCCAACACCTTAGAAGAGAAACGGGCGGACTTGCCAGCTACCGGTGTATGGCTGACACGAAGCCACACTTGAAACGAATGCGGTGCAAGAACAAGGAGCTATTCGCGTTCGCACACACGTCAAATCCCTAAGCCCCGACACAAAAAATCCCAAGACTCCAAACGCCGGCCCTTTAGCTCCCCAACGTGTAGACGGTTGGGCCATTGGGGGTTCGACCTGGTTGGCAACCACCATTCCGGCCAGCCCACCGCCCACCACAACGACGTGGCTTGCTGGAAATAAAGCCATGGCTGGAAAACCAAGCCATCTTGACTCCGGCCTAAAGCCGAATCACAGATCAAATGAAGGACGTCTTACAGGGAAACGGCTTCTACTTTCATGGTGCTGATGCTCGTTCTAGGATCTTCGCAGTCTGTCTAGCATTCTTGCTCCATTGCCCACTGCATTCTGGAATTCCATAATCACCCAAGCAAGCAGGAAATGAGTACTGTTCGACTTTCTTGCTCGTGTTGATGTGCGAAGCCGCCAAGCAGCTGAGGTCTGTATCGTGCAGACAGGAGCAAGTTTGCCGAAGTTGGGGCTAGTCTTGGTACCATGACACTGCTTATAGGGCACCTGACTGGCCCACTGTTATGTCTGGCTAATTCCCCAGCTAACCCCGAAGCTCCGTCTGTGATTCCCCGACAAAACGCCTCGCAGCAGAACCCACGAAAACTTACTATGACTTACTATTATGACTCCAATCATATTCTTTTGTCCTCCATGTTGCCTTAAGAATTCAGTCGCGACCCGAGCCAAGCCAAGCGAAAGCATGCTGAAGGTCAGCCACCTTCGGAAACCTCGAGCCAGCCAAAGAAGATCACTGTCTTTTGCGTGCTCCCGGCGATCCGAAACTGGAAGAGCAGATCCATGAGGTGCGCTCATTGGTGCCGATGGAAGAGCAGAGCCCAAGCTTGCCTGGGCCTTCTAAACAGACAGGAGCTCCTTTCTAGATCTTCCCCACACCCCAACTGATCCCGATCAAAGCGTCAAAGAGCGAACCTCATTCGCTGCGTGAAACTTCTGACACTGCTCAAGCTTCCTCTTTGGCTCTCATGGCCTTGACAAGGTCGGACTTGTACCTTCAGGAACCCAGACCATGGGGCAAGCAACTTCTGACCCTCACATACCCTCACTGCTTTGAAACGTCAAGACGATAAAGCGCGGCCAGGCACATGAAATACTGGCTCGAGGGCGAACAATTTCTGTAGACTAACCTGCATATCTCGTTCTCCACCTCGGCCTGCACTGCTGCTCAGACGTTTGCAGAAAAACAATCGCCCGTGCCAACGGAGCGGCCTCATCACCGATGAAGTCCACCAAACCTAACCTTGCAGAGAAGCACCATGCACAAGCTGCTGAACAAGTCATGTGCTTGGCAGCGCACCTCTGCGCTTCGTTCGCATCGATCGGATCACCAACTAGCTGAAGACGGCGAACAGCCTGACATCTGATGGTTCGTCCAATGAAACAGGCGGGCAGCAGCAGGCCTTCTCCATCATTCTCTTCTTTAGAGCAATCGGGGTGATAGGATGTAGGTCATGTCCTCAATTCCACATCAGTTTCTTGGTGCTTGGACAGAACGTTGAGGTCTCTGAGATGAGGCCTTCGGCCTGCTGCAACGCAACATGGGCCAAGGCCCTCACGGTACTTGGGCAAGCCAAACCTTGCCAGCACTGCGTGCCGTCATCAAGTGAGTAGACGAGTTTGCTTGCACAATACTGTGAGAATCCGAACAAGCACCGACATATACGGACTATTGAAATCACGAGGACACGGGTGCCATCAGGCCATGGAATCTGAGTGGGCCACGAAGCCCCTGTTGTGGCCAGCACCAGCTGCGAGATCGCCGGGAAAGTCATCAGCGAAGCTCGAACTGGGCCCTGGCTGCCACTTAACACAAGCACCCTTTGCACTGCTGGTGTAGTTGCACTGATGACTCCCACAGCCGTGATTTGGAAATGAGCGTGAGTGACTACGTCCGTCTTGCTTATGTTCAATTTTCTTCTGTTGATCCTATTGCTTCGGTATGACAGTCAAGACCTTTGGACTAGGATGCGGAACTTGCAATGAAGACTCGCGTGGGTATGTTGGCTATCCCGACCACAGTGAAAACTGATGGCGGCGATGATGATCATGAGTAGCAGTGCCTGCTAGAGCCGCTGTCACGAAAGTCATGTCGACGGCTTCAATTAGTTGCAAGATACAATGTCTTGCATGTATGCATGTATGCATGTCTGTGCGTGCACATGTGTGTCTCCGTGTGTGCGTGTGTGTGCGCGCAACCCTGTTGCCAAGGACTGTGTAACAAGGCAGCACAGAGAGCAGCAGGGATTGCTTCAGTTTTGCTGCCAACGAAGACGGCTGAAGTATTCTGTAACATGAAGAGGGGACGCCGTCTGCACATACCTGCAATCAAGTGTAATAGCAACCATGCCAAGCCACAGACCTGGCAAGCCCAACCAGTGAAGTAAATGAGCCTTTAGGCCAATACTACACCCAAACCCCTTACTGACAGTGGACACACAGTTTGGCATAGTTTGGCTCGATCTTGATATGCTGACTATCAGCTGGAGGCTGCGGATGAAGGCACATGATATAATTGCAGAGTCCATCGCTTCACTGATTTATCTTGCTACTGTACTTCTGCCCGGGGGCGGCCCAGGCTTCCATTCTTGCCAATTTCTGTTATGGTACGGCAGTTCGATCTTTTTGATCCATTCGGACACATATTCACTCGCTTGGACACAGGTCTGTGATAATACAGACCACGGCTTTGCATTGCTAAAGCAGTTCATGGATTTGACACATTTGACTGCAGACCCTCCGTTTAACTCACGTCAAACACAGGCATTTCATAAGGCAGCCGAGTCAGATCTTTGGCGTTTGTCTTTGTAGGTTTCGGTGCCTTTACAACATGACAATCGTTGCATGGAAGCAAGCCATCTCCAGCTCAATCAGCTATCGTCATCCCGGTCACTATCCATGCTTCCCCTAACACACCCGACTTTTGAGCAGCGAACCGTGCAGTGGCGTACGAATCACATCCAGGGCTTCAAGCATCTTTGTTCTTTCCTTTCATGTGCCAAGCGCCACAAAGCAAGCAGAGCCTCATCAGAGTATCAAGAAGTTTTATGAGCTCTCTTGGAACAACAAATTGTGAGAACCTAGTTTCCACCCAGACTGTTTCCGATGCCTCTGCCATGAATAGCGGCAGAGGTGTCCACAATCTGGCTTTGCACAAAAACAAGAGGCAGCAGAGCCGGATAACTTTTGCAGCATCCACGCTGAGTTTGATGGCCTTTCTCAAGCCAGCCTGCTAACCAATTCTTTCACTGCAACGCAGTGTGGATCAGTCTAAGAGCTGGCTGCTACGAAACAAGCTCCGCCGCACTTTGAAACACTGTTTGTTGATCATCTCAAAAAGCAGTGGCAACAACACACGTGGGTGATTGAAACTAGCAATAGGTGATTTTGCGCCTTGTGCAACAAGTCAAAGCCAAGTCGCATGACAGATTCTCTCTGCACAACGAGGATCATCAACAGTACCATACGGTATGCTGCGTCCTCGTTTCTATGCCACCAGCATACTCACCACACGGAACGATGAAGCAGTGTGCAAGAGCTTGAAAGCCTCACCTCACCTTTGGAATTGGAAGCAAACCATGCTCCAACAGATTCCCAAAACGGTGTGGAAGCGATAAGCATGGGCGATTCAGCAGCATGCAAAGTTACTGAGAGGCATTGTGTTCTGGAAGGCCAAGAAGAACTTCCACAAAGGAGAGACCAACATATCTGACGGCGGTGACCAAAACGCAAAGATGTTTAAGCAGTAAATCCCGATTCCCCGGGCATGCATTCAATGCCTCAGCTATGGCTATGGCACCTGCACGAGCGCCTCTGTGATCCAGCATTGAGCTCCATGAATGCAACGACGATCTCGCTAGTTTTCTTACTGCAGTGCCACCTGCCTCCGCCTGCCTCTGGCTGCCTCCCCTGCCATGCCTACCTCTGGCTGCCTCTGTCGGCCTGCCTCTGTCTGCCTCTGCCTGCCTCTGCCTCTGCCTGCTTCCTGCCTTGCCTGTCCCTGCCTTCGTGAGTGCATGCATATATGTATGCCGGTACGCCTGTGTCTTTATACTTAGTTATGCAACACAGGTGCATGCATGTTAATGTGCGCAGCGTTTACGTTTACATGTCCATGTGCAAAATACATGCAAACGCAGTTGCCCACATTCGATTCCCGACGGCATGCGGTGTTGACAGAAACTCGTCAACCACAGTGCATCGAAAGCTGTTGAGAGTGTGCACAAGTGTTGCTTGCAAAAGGAAGCGGAAGAACAAACCGTCGCTTTCCCTTCGCTGGAACCTCCACAAGCGCGAGGTAGCATCATCCCAAAAACAACCCATGTAGAGAAAAATGTAAAGTACTGTAATGACATCAACAGAGTAGAAGAGTAGCTAAAAGTTTGCTACGATTGGATGGACAAGCAATAGGCGTCAAACACTAGCAGTCACTAGCAATTACGACACAGACCCTGGAAAACGAAACTGAAGAAGAAAGGAACATGCATGCGCTGGACATGTGTTTCCAAGCTGCAAAGTCACCCGGCCTTGCACACGCAGACGATGAACATTGGTCTGCTTTGAACGATCTCATACACCTCACTCTTTCTGAACCCTTCTCCGACACACAAGATCCAGCACCATGTCGACGCCTCACCAAGCAGTGGGGACTTTGCCACGTAGCCTTCCTGGTCGTGCAATCATCAAGATCCCGGCTCCTTTGTAAGCAACAGCAAATGCTCTTATAACTAGATCCTAAGCGTTTCACGCCACAGCAAACTTGCCACAGCAAATGCACAGAAGAGAAGCAAAGGTAAGGACTTCAAATAGAAGCAGTCGGTCTGGTTGTCTGGAAAATCAAATTCACGTACTCAAACCGAGCATCAGGCGAAGAAGATTGAGACTATCATGCACCGACTCTAGAACAAGGTCATTTTGCTGTGGGCCCTTTGAAAGAACAAGCCGGCCTGATCATGTTCCGCATCATCCGATATGCGCAGGATCACGATGCCGTCGGCCAACCTGAAAATTCTTCAAGCTCTGAAAGGAATGCAGTGCTTGCACAACATCTGCCTGAGATGGACCCTCCATGCTTCTTGGCAGGCAGCAATTTATCTATCAAACTCGACCGAGTGTGGCGTTTGCTTGATACAGATTCCCTCCGAATTGATCTCCTGAATTGGGGGCGGCAGTTTCTCTCCAGTTCAGCTCTTGGCCCCCAGCGAGAACAGCTGGAGGAAACTGTTCCAGGCCTCCTTGCTCTGAACGGAGGGGACCTTCAGGCAGTTGCAGACAGCGGTACAGCATGAGCCGGAGATCAGCACCTCCAACGTCATGCACGTCAAGCCGGGAACTTCGACCTGGCCAGGATCCGGTCACTGAAGCGCGGCTTTCCAGTGCTGCTTCATGACAACACTCCCCCTTTGCACGCCCGAAACTGACGTGAGACGGTCGTGTGACATGTCGCGTCAGGTCAACGAAATACTTGTGACTTCAACCTGCTGCTGGATTGAAAACACTTCAAGCGGGAGCTTGGGCGCTTTGGCCCCATCGAAACTCACATCAAGCAAACAGCGGGATGAGATTGGCAATCAGGGGCGCATGATCGCTGGCAGATCCCCAAGAACCCATGCCTGGCAAACAATGGTAGTCCAACAATCCATGTAAGGCACCTCAGCATCGTGATTGCTAGGATCCGGATGCCTCCTCTGTCGACGGCAACCTGCACGACGGACCTCAACACTCGATTCTCCAACACTACGAAAGACCTGTTTGCCACCTCCAGGACCACTACCCTCCTGGTTTCATTTTGCATCTCAAACTCAAAACAGTCTTCGCTGCAATCATATATATATAATATGTATATATATATATATTATGTGTGTATATATATTATAGATAGATGGCGAGACTGGGCTCCGGTGAGCATTTGTTCCATCAGCGGCGTGGCCGCAAATGGAGCTAAGGCCGGGACCACTGCCCCTGGCTGGCCAAGATGAAGTCCACCCTGCACTTCTGAGCTGTAGCCGAGGGCCTGTTGTGCCTGAGAGTTGCTGATGGGCCTTTACAACTCGGATCTTGGTTCCCTTGAGTCAGGACCGGGGTGAAGGGACGGCTGCTGTACTTGCAAAAACATGACCAGCCGAGGCTTGTGGCCACACGAAGCTAGACCACGAAGCTAACAGTTGATCCAAAGCCACAGAGTCAAAATGAGACAAAATGAGTTAAATCCAGAGCAGCCCGCAGGCCGATCCGAAACCCAGCGAAGACTAGAAAGACCGAGCTGTCCTGCAGTCCGGGTTATTGTCATCACTGAAGGATCGCCCTTGGTCCTGGCTCGTCTTGGTTCTATTGAGTTCAACTGACGGATCTCTAGGTATGCAGCAAACACACTATGCGGTTGCTCACCTCGCCATGGACGTCCACGAGGTCAACTGGTGAGAAGCCCTGGCTTCCCTGCAGCTCACCTTTCAAATACCGCAGGGCCTCGCGACAGGGACAGGGAGGGACAGGCGGAGAACGCAGACTTCAGAGAGGGTGCACTCGGCTCGAAAGGCCTCGGTCTTCGGGCCCTGAAACAGGGAAGCAAAGCAAAGCAAGTGCGCACCATCGACCGTGCCGTCTGCCTTGCAGAATTGGTTGGTGTCCCCCACCTGATTGTTGACACCATCCAGAATTTCTTGATGAGTCCGTCTGTCACTCATCAAGACATTGAGTGACGTTGTTCAGCTTCCTGCGAGGATCGTTGGTGGTGATCCGTGCCTTGGGAGTGCGTTCTTTGGGGGTCTCCTTTGTAGAAGCAGGACCGTTTGCTCTGAACAGAGGTGTCGGCATTATGGACACCGAAACGTTCACCAGTCCATGCAAGACGTCTAGCTGAAGCTTAGGGTTACGGGTCGGCAGCGGCACACAACAGAACTTGAGGCCGAGGCTTCGTCCTGTCTGCTGCGATCTTGTTCGCAATCGTTTCCGCCTTTCGGAACAGCGCAGGGGCAGCTGCTCTAGAAATGGCCCAGTTGGTACCCGTGGCCCGAATACAAGCACCACCTGCTGCAAGCCATACCCGTGCTTCCAATGGGAGTCATAAAACAAAATCTCACGTCCTGACAGATCTGACAGAAGCCGCGATGGGCTTTTGTAACTATGAATTACCGATTTACCGACATAACATGCCATCATGCCGTCTGTTCATCACATCGGGCACTGCTCCTGTATCCAGGTGCTTGTACAAGGCCTGCAAGCTAAACCAGCGTTTCGCTCCAATCTAAGTTGGAAAGATGGACACAAGTAACCATTTGCCTGTTCTCCTCTGCAGAAAACTTGGTGGCCCACCATTGACATCCAATACCCTCCAACAAGGGCTGTCCAGTCCTGGGCTCTCGCCCCTCGACATCACCAAGGCCAGCAACTGCCAAATTGCAGACACTGAGCACAGGAGTCATCGCTTATCTTCAAGAGTCCTGTCAGTAGCACAGCAGACTCAGTTATCATCAGAGCTTCTTGGTCCAACTTCTCGAGCTTCGATGGCTTGAAGAACTGACCTGGGCTCAAGCTATGTCACGTATGCTTGGCACGGACACATACTTATACCTCAACATGGACGCAGAATGTCAAACACAGACATAAACAGTCTCCAAGTAGCTGCCACCTGCGAAAGTCAATCCTGTTGATGACATGAGCAGCTCCTCTGTGCATAGCTAGTCCCAAAAAAGCTCCCACACACCGTGGCAACACATGTTTTCTTCTCCTCCACCTCCTGGTAGCCCCAGCCGCCCTTCTCAACCTCCTGTGCCTGGCGGCACCAGACTGATTAAAGCATGGGTCCTGTGCGTTGGGGCCTTCGGGCGCAGAATGCTTACAGAACTTCTTCACCTGGTTTACCAGAGCTTGCAGCTCCCCGCTAGAACACTTGCTGCCTTTTGAGAGTTCCATGGCTGGGCGGGGAGGGGTGTCCATTTCTCAGACTCAGCCCCGGACGCCCAGCAGGTCCGGCTCCCAGGAGTTGATCTTACCCAGGACGTTTTCGCCCTCGTGCAGACTTGCGCACCGAGCTAAGCGAACGTGTCAGGAAATTCAAGGAGCTTGGAGCAGGGGCCTTCCAGGAGTTCGCATTAAAGGACGACCAGCCCATCAGGTTGTAAGACATCACCTGCAACAGGATCGCTGCAAACAGAAGCCCAGAGCCCGCCCAATCTTTCCTTCTGAAGGCAAGCGGCTAGCGGGCCTTGAGTGTCGCGCTGGGACGACTCATGTTAGCCGGGGGTAAAGAAGGCGACCTTGTTGACACGTGGCCATCGCAGGGAACAGACGTCGCAAAATCAAGTTGCAACTGGTGATTCGTCGACATGCCTGGCTCATTCCGAGTTCGAGAATTTGGGAACCCTGCACTTTCAGTAACACGCCTCAGGATGGTACGGCTTCGGCTTGGCGCCAAGCTGCAAGAGAAGATGATCCCTCAGGCACCATGGAACTTCCTACACAATATCAAGGAAACGAGAGCTGGAGCACAAACGAACACCACGAGGCCTTGTCACTCTAGGCGCCTGCCAAGTCGGCAAATGCTGAACTTGAAAATGGTCAAAGGCCTTTCTGGGCAGGCCTTCTGTAGATTCGAACATCGGCTGGACTCAGTATCCTGCAGCTCGCAACTGCAGTAGTTGTGGTGCAACGGCACCATGTTTTTTGCGACTAGGGGTCACACGTGCATGTCCTCGCAGCCTGTATGCTTTGCAATGCATCCTTGGACAGCAAGCCAACTACATATGAATCACGCGTTCGGACTCAACGTAACACTACTTCGGATCTTAAAGTCAGGCAAGCGGCCCCAAGATAAGATCAGCGCAAGGCGTGCAGTTTTCATCACGGGCATGTGCAATCTCCACCGAACTTGCGTTGAAAACGAGCCGAAGTAGCAAATACTACCACCTGATGCTGCTGCTTCATGGTGCAAAAAAGGACTTCCTGTTGGGCCAACTCCCAAGTCAGATGCGCCGTGTTGGAAGTCAACAACAACAAACACTTGGCCGACGAAACCGTGCCTTGTATGCTGGAGCCTTCTCATCGCCACCAACGAGTTCACTCTGAACTCCTGCGAAAGGATCCACGTCCTGGCAATGCGTGACTCAGCCAACTACAAGCAGTTAGGCAGTAAAGCCCGACGTGGTTTCGCAATTTAGATGCCTTGCTTGAAAATACTTGTTTAGCATGGTTGTGTTTATGTGACAAACAAATCGTGAAGTGCAAACATTCATATTAAGTCCTCCATGGATGCAGCAGTGGCCCAAGGGAAAAGGGCCACAACATCCAGCAAGCCTTGTTCGAAGCCAAGATGCAGCAGATGTGGAAGATCCTGTGACCAAAACATTAAATCTGTGCGCACGCACCTTGCATACTCAAACAAGTCATACAAACACGCAACAGCAAACGTTGAAAAAAATGGTTGGACGGTATTTTTTGCCACGTCGGGCATTTCTCCTCTTGCAATGTCTTTTGCTCTTGGCTCTGGGAACCATTCTGAGAAAAATACATCACTGGCTCATATCAGTGCCCACAAAGGTTGTTGACATTTCTATGTTCGAACTTGGGGATTAGAAACTGTATTATGGGTTTGAAAACTGTGTGCTCGACTTGGCTCGAAAAATATTTGAACCCCAACCTCAGGCGTGGCTTAGCCCTACCACAAATGTCCAAATCCAGGGTGTGGAAGAAAAAAGTTGTTCACGCTTCAGCCGGATCTCGTTTCCTTGGAGCAATGAAACCCATCGAAAATTACCATCTACGCCCAAGCTAGCAGCCTTTTCGTCCTGCTCTAAACTACGGTGGAAGTCGATTGGTTGAGGCTTGGGATGACATTTGCCTTTGTTCTCTGGTTCTACTCAACGAAATTACACAACATGCAGGCAGTGCAAGCAGACAAAACGACTCTTCTGACGGTGCTAGTTGCTTGGTATGGCGATCTTTGAACGAGAACAAACTCAAGAAGAAGAACAACAGCAGACGACAACAGTTTTGCGGTGCGAACATGCTCTACGCATTGCGAGCGTGGTGCTTACCCAACATTCAATGAAACAGACATGGCCAATCTTCATTCCCAAGAAAATCTCCCTCACTGAACTCTGCTTGAATCAGGCTCAGAGCTACAGAGAGGAAAGTCAATCACGGTATGCAAAACCTCCGACACCTCTGTGAGCTAAGTCCGATGCTCACAACCAATTCCCATTTGGTCACTCAAAGACGAAGGCGACGCCATTTGGACACGAGATGTACTGGAGGCGTGTAGCACTCAACTACGAGTTGGAATCTGGAGCCATTTTCTCTGCTGTAGCAGTCACAATCTGCAAATGCAATGCGGCCGCAAACAAGTGAGCTTCATGCAGGCATCGATGGGAACGGCTCCCCTGTTCCCTGCTTTCCAAACATCGGTGTATCAAAACTACAGTTGTTCCTCTGGGACCTGGAAGACATGTTCGCTACTGCCTTGCAGAATGAATCGAAGTAGGATGATCACCATTCGCAAAGGCCAGACTTCCAACAGTTGCGACTCCATCCAAAACAGCAGTTTCACACACTGAGAAAGTGTTTGCGCGCTCACGGTGTGATGTTACATTACGTGTCTGCGGAACTGAGGCTGCCGCTGCACACTGCACTTTAGAGTTGGTTACTCCAGTTCCACAGGGGGCCCACTGCATCCGAATGCAGGTATACACTCAGACTGTGCATCCACTGACTTGCCGTAGCTTCGCTGGACAGGATAGGCAAGTCAGTTGAAAACAGCAAGACAAGGTNNCTTGAGCCAAATATGTCAATCAAGTCAGCACTTAGCTACACTTATCATGGCCTTCACATATGTACACAATGATGGTACCGGGAAGCGTGTTTTAACAACTCCTCCCTTAAGTGAGTTCAAGTGGGTGACTGTACAACATGCGTCGCGGCAAGTGCCGTCGATGCAAGACGCGCTACGGAGTGAGACATCAGAAGTGAAAGCCAAGCTCACGCAGACACTGGGCATCTGCAGTGGACAACACGTCTGGGTCTCGAATGGTGAATGCGACTACAACAACGCGCATATCTTGCTTTGCAGACTGGCAAGGGGTTGTGCAG